AGTTCTGCTTTCTGTTACTGTTACCGCCAGAGGCCACAGCAGTGGGCCCATCACTTCCTGATTCTTTTTTTTTGGTTCTAATTCTGCCTAAAAAGGCTTTTGTATTGTCCGAGGCATTTTTGCCCTCTCAGCCCACTCTTTCCGGCTTCTTAATGTTTCACACTCTCCATAAACCTTGTTTCCACGCTTGCATATGGAATCGCTGCCCCTTTTTCCCTATGAACACTATATTTAAATAATATCTAAAGTTTTAAAACACAATTACCTTATCAAGTATTTTATAGGAAAACATCATACCTGATTTTACTAACTTGAGTGTTATGAAGAATGAATATGCTTACACACTGACAAAAACATACAGGGAAAAAACCATATAGGGATTGTGTGGTGGCTATTTGCACCCCCTTTTTTCTCACGTGTGCTCCATAGCTCCTTTGTCCTTAAGTTCTTTTAGCTTATTTCCACTTTTTTTGTTTGTTTTCTTCCTGGCATCCATTTTTACTTTAAATTATTGTACCCAGATGCAGAAATCACCTGGCTGCCACTAACTGCAGAATTATGAAAATTAAATAAATCACAGGATGGTTAGTGATGGAGGACTGGATTGTTTTATATTTTTTATTGAGATAAAATTCACATACCATAAAATTCACCCTTTTAAAGGATAGAATTCTGTGATTTCACAAAGCTGTGCAACTAATACCACTATTAAATTTCAGAACATTTTCATCACCCCCATAAGAAACCCTGTACCCATTAGCACTCTCCTTGCCTTTTGCAATGTGGATCTCTAATTGTCCCGCCATTATTTGTTGAAAAGAATATTCTTTCCCCCCATTGAATTGTCTTGGAATCCCTGTAAAAACAAAGTGACCACAGATGTATAGGTTTATCTCTTGACTCTCAGGTCTATTCCATTGATTTATATGTCTATCCTTATGCTAGTACTACATTGTTCTGATTACTGTAGCTTTGTAGTAAGTTTCAAAATCAGGAAGTATGAGAACTCCAACTTTGTTCTTTTCCAAGATTGTCTGGCTATTCTGGATCCCTCACATTTCCATGTGAATTTTAGGATCAGCCTGTCAATTTCTGTGGGGAAGGCAATCGGGATTTTGGTAGAGATTACACAGAATCTGTGGATCCCTTTAGTGCAGCCATTCTAAAGGTATTAAGTCTTACAATCCATAAATATAGGATGGCTTTCCTTTTTTTTCTTTTTTAGGTTTTTACTTTCAACAAAACTTTGTAGTTTTCAGTGCATAAGTTTTACACTATTTTTGTTAAATTTATTCCTAAGTATTTTATTCTTTTAGATGCTACTATAAATGGAATTGTTTTCTTAATTTCATTTTCAGATTGTTCATTGCCAGTGTATAGAAATACAATGGATTTTCTATATTGACCTTGTATCCTGACACCTCACTGAACTCGTTTATTAGTTTTATGAGTTTTTCTTTAGGATTTCCCTAAATCGTTAGGATTTTCTGTATACAAGATCATGTCCTCCGAGAACAGAGATGGTTTCACTTCTTTCTTTCCAATCTGGATGACTTCCATTCCTTTTTCTTGCCTAATTATCTTGGTCTCTACCCTTTTAAAGCCTATACACTTTCTTGGGTGACTTCCCTCTTTCTTTCTTCATTAGATAGATGGAAGAAGGTGACAGAGTGTAGGAAGAATAAAGAAAGTGGAGTTATTAAAAAAACACAAGTTGGAACCATGTGAAGTGATTTTCAGTGACTCTCTCTTCCTCTCAGTGGAAATGTCTTCCTCCACAGCACCTGGGCCCAGGGATTTTCTGGAGGAATCTCTGAAACGTGTTTTCCTCAGGTTTTGGACACAAGCCGGGTAAGCCCAACATCCACCCTTCCTCGGCTCTTACAGAGTCTAAGACGACATGGCTACTCGCCCCGGGCCCATCTCTCCTCCTTCTCCGGACAATTCTCTCCTGCTGGTCAGAGGCAGAGCAACACTTCCTCTCATTGCACCCTCTGTCTTCTAAGAAATAAAACTGTCAGTGTGGCAACAGGTTTACCAGCTGTTCTGCTTCTACCCCAAAGAGACTTTGACAAATATCTCCCTCACATCTGAAGTCTCCTTCTGGGACAGTTTTGTGATCCATGTGAGGAGAGTCCACCCAGACTCTCCTATCTGTCCTCTTCCTTGCACTGGGGCCCCTCATGGTGATCTCCCATGCAGGAGTGTGTGTGTGTTTTCTTGACACTCAGGCTCTTCATCCACCCCATCTGGAAGACCTTTTCATCAGAACAAGGCCTACACTTAATTTCCTCACTCCAGATGAAAGTCCTGGTTCACCATGTTTTAGTGGGTCCTAGCTCTTCCCAGTCATGGGACAAAGGAGGGAAGAGTGAGGTTTCATGAAAGGTGTGGAAATGCACACCAAAGGCCTTGTTGAGTGGCTTTACAGTAAATAACATTTCCCTCCAAATCAGTGCAAGCTCTGTGATAGCATGTACAGGAAGCCAGGGGGATAAGAATCTATGGCTATGCAAACAGGTGCACCCTATCTCACAAGCAAGTGGGAGCTTCTGGTGCTCAGTGGCTAGACGTAAACAACCCAGGTACCACCAGCCTCAGAGAAAAGAGAGCCACGGAAGCAGGCAGGATCCAGGGCGGTCAGCACCCTGGGCCAAGACCTCTGCTCCCTGGTTCCAGTGTAGGACTCCCCAGGGGAGCTGTCCTTTTGTTTGGGGCTTTCCTCCCAGGAGCTAAATCTCTTCCTACTACCTTCCCTCTGAAACCAAACTCAGATCTTGGGTGCCTCACCAATCTTCCTGTTCACCCTGATTTGCTTGCAACCTCACAGGTTCACTTTGTGCCCTCTGCCTAACGACACTCTTAGGCCGGGAAGGTCTCAAGAGCAAGCGACTTCCTGATAAGGTGACTCCTCCCTCACTCTGGGCTTGCACATGGCTTGAGCGCCTACTGAGAAAAGGTCCATTTGGATGGAGTCACCAGGAGTCAAATCTCAAAATCTTTCTTAAAACTATGCTTAGCTATTCCACAAAGCTCCCTCTAAAGGAGGCAACAAAGAGAAGAGTGAGAAATGATATAATGAAATAGTAAACTGAAAAAAAGATCCATTCATGTGCCTGTACATTGTGCTCTCCTGCCTCAGACTTGCTTATTATCCAGGCTATGGGAACACAGACAGAGGGCCACATCACATCCAGGTTGGTTCAGCGTCAACAGGGGCTCCCTAATCACACACGGGACAATAAAACCCTCATGGTAAAGACAGACAGGAGGGACTGTCCGGGGTGCTGTGAAGATGCCACCACTGATGTCTAAGATTATTATACTTATAACAATGCTACCTTCTTATCCTTCATCTGTATATTTCAAAAGGTCCACCTCCCACTCTTGTACCACTTGGTCATAATACTTCATTATCCCATAAACTTAAAAATCAGTTAGTATTACTGAGAGCTTACATATATTGTCTGTCATCTTTCAAAGTGCCAGTTACTATAATATTTCTACAGTTCATTTTGAGTGTCTAGGGTGACATATTTAATACTATTTTCCTATTTTCAGCTTTTAAAAAGAACCAAATAAAGCAATTTTAGAATTATTTTCTTCAGTTTTCCTTCACATTCAATTTACTGCCTAGAACTATATTTCAATATAGCTTATTTGCTTTGCTAAATTCATTCATAGTGTATCTGCAGGCCTGGACTGAACATATTTCCTGTAGTGACAACTACTCTATTTGTGGGAACTATTTAGGTCACTGGAGTGGAGAAAAAGAGGCCGCTACTTAATAGAAATGGCATGTATCCAAATATAGAGGCAGTTCTCCGAACACCTGTTGGACATCAATGATGAAGAGATTGTTACAATTTCCAAAACCCTGGACCCAAACCTTAAACGATCAGTCACTTTGTTTCAACTGACACAAGGTTTAACCCAGGAAAACAAGTCTCCTAACCAGAGTCTCAAAATGCAAGATGCCTTAGCAGTAAAATAGCCTCTTCAAAAAGCAATGTTTCAATGTAAATTTTTTTCCCATCAAAAATCAGTTCGGAGGAAGCTATATTATGGGAAGTTTAGGGCACGCACAGTAATTCTTTGCTTTTGGAGACAGCGAGCATGCCAAATACTTTCAGTTGTCAAGGGTGAGCTAAGAGAGACTGACCCAACCAAGAAACGGAAACTAACGAACAGTAATATGACACTCCCCTTTAGTTCCACTGGCCACGGGTTGGTGGGCTGCTACACCCAGCTAACTTCCTAGGGCCGGATAAAGGCGAGACTGTGTAAGGGCTGAACGATGGCGGCCTCTCTCCCTGCCTCCCTCGAACACCGTGGCGGTGGTGGTGGGGTTGGGAAGGGGATGGGGTGGGGGGCTGGGGGGGTTGGGAGGAGGATGGGGTGGTGGTGGCGTGCAAGGACCTCAAGAGAAGTGGGCTTGCAAAATACTCTCTACTGTTGCCACATTCATTCATTCAATAAAAAGTTATGCGCCAGGCACTGTGCTGGGGCTTAACTCCACAACTATGACCCAATGGTCCATTCTGATACCCCACATCTCTGTCCCCATTTCCAGCCCTAGGCCTCACTCGCCCATTAGTAAGGTGCTTATAATCGCCTCGCTCTTCCTGCCTTCCCCAGGCCCCCAGGCCAGGGTGACAGGATAAAACCAGCTGGAGGAGTGCCTTTCCAAGAGCAAGAAGGAGGGCCCGGAGTACGCGGAGAAGGGGTTCCAGGTACCCTCCTGCCCGCGTGGGGAGAGCCAGTCCCTCCTCGGGAGGCCGCGTCCTGGGGCGGGGCTGCGGCACCCAGGCACCGCGCTCCGACGGGGAACCTGAGGTCACGCCGCTGCTGGAGGCGGAGGCAGCGGCGAGGGGGTCCGCGAGCGGCAGGAAGCCCGACGGCGGCGGGAGGCGGTGACAACGCGCGCGCACGTGGGGAGGATCGCTTCCACCCAGGTGGTGGGGCAGGACTCCAGCAGGGGTGAGGGCGGGGCGGGTTACCTGATGAAGGTGGTCTTGCCTGTGCTGTACTGGCCCACCAGGAGGATCATGGGCTTGTTTTCGAAGTCGGCGTCCTCCAGCGCAGGCGAGTGGAACTCGTGGAAGCGGTACGCCTCCTCCAGCGGCAGCACCTTGCGCAGGTAGAGCGAGCGCAGGCCGCCCGTCACGGTCTGCACGGCGTCCATGCCGCCTGCGCGCTCGCGCCCGCCCGCCTGCCGCCCCATCCAGCTGAACATCTCGCCGCCGGTCCGCCCGTGCGCTGCTCCGCGCCCGCCCTCTCACTGCCGCCCCGCGCTCGGATCCTGCTCCGGGTTCGGACCCTCCCCGGCTCGCACTGAGCTGTCCCCGCTGCGCTCGCCGCCGCCCGAGCGGGCCCCGCCTCGCGCCGTCGCAGCCAATCTCCGGTCGCCACGTCACGAGCGCTCGTTCACTATTCAGGAGGGCTCGCTCCTGTCCTTCCTCATTGGGCCGCTGCCAGCGCGGGCGGAGGCGTCAGCCAATGGAGAGCAGGTTCTTCATGAATTATTGATGCTGGAGTCCATCTGGAGGACGCGGCTGGGGAGAGGGTGCCTCTTCAATTGGGTGGCGCTGACTCGTCATCGGAGGGCCCCCCATTGGTCGCCGGGGCCCCACCTCTGGCCAGGTGGCGTCGGCTTCCGGGCAAATCTGAGCTGGCACAAACGAGTCTTCGGAGGCTGCTTAGCCTCCTGGATCGTTTACTCATCTCAACCCTATGGACGTCGAAACTGGGGAGGAAAGTTCAGAAAGTTGACAGGCAGGTTCTTTCTATCCCCTGGCAGGTTATTATTACCCTTACTGTATTGGTGAAGAGGTCTTGACTCACGAGCATAATTGATAGAATTTGAAGTAGGAGAAGTAGACTGCAATCTGCTTGAGGAGATGCTTCTCCTACTTCTCGAGGCTGCCTCCCCTGAATTCTGGATGGTCTGAAGGCCGTTTGCCCTTGGTTTTCTTTATTTGATTTTCTGTAAAATCGAAGATTTAGTCATCGTCCTCATTATTGCAACCTAATTTCCCCATATGGACATCTAAGAGAGCTATTGTTGACTCCTAGCTGCCTCTTTTTTCTGGTTGAAAGGACACATCTAAATTGAGATTGAGAGAAACAATCAGCCATCACTTTTGGTGTCCTAGGTTAGAGTTTTAGAATATTTCTCAGTGGTTTTAGAGCATTTCTCAAGTGTGATCCACAGGGCCACCTGCACTAGCATAACCTGGGATGCTTGTTAAAATGAAGATTTCAGGGGCCGGCCCGTGGCCGAGTGGTTAAGTTTGTGCGCTCTGCTTTGGTGGCTCAGGGTTTCGCCGGTTGGGATCCTGGGCGCCAATATGGCACCGCTCATCAGGTCATGTTGAGGCGGCATCCCATATAGCACAACCAGAGGCACTCACAGCTAGAATGTACAACTATGTACGGGGCGGGGTGGGGGGGTGCTTTGGGGAGAAGAAAAAAAACAACATCAAAAAGATTGGCAACAGATGTTAGCGCAGGTGCCAATCTTAAAAAAAAAAAAAAAAAGATTTCTGGTCATCACCCCAGACCTACTGAGTTAAAATATTGAGGAAGGATGGAGCTCAACAAGTGCCCCAGGTGATTCTGATGTACCCTAACTTTGGGGAAATGTGGTGTACAACAGTACTTCTCAAACTTGATAGAAATGCAGATTCTGATTCGGTAGGTATGGGGTGGGACCCAAGACTACAGTTCTAACAAGCTCCCAGGTGTTGCCACTGCTACTTGTCCATGGACCATACTTTGAATACCAAGGCTGTGGTGAAGAGAGAACAGGACTTGGCATCAAAAAAACCTGGGTTTGAGTCCTGACTCTATAAATTAGTGGCTACGTGACCTTAAATGCAATGAATTACTTCTCTGCCTCAGTTTCCTTGTTTGTAAAATGGGAACTTCTTTGGGGTTGTTGTGTGGATCAAATATTTAGAGGAAGCTATACGTAACTAGGGAAGTGAAAAGACAGCCAAGGGAAAATGAAGTTAGATATCTGCCTCGTGTCAAAATAAAAGATTGAAATGTAAAAATAAACTACTAGAAGAAGGTACAGTGAAGATTTATAACATTTTTGGAAGGAAAAAACCTTTCTAATCAAAACCAAAGGCAGAAATTATGAAAGAAAAGGTTAATAGATTTATCCACAAAAAAGTAAAAGCTTCAATGTGTTTTTAAAAATATATAAAAACAAACCCATATAAACATACTCTTGCCATATCCAGAAATTGCACTTCCTGGTATTTACCCAAATGAGATGAAAACTTATGTCTACACAAAAACTGCACACAGATGTTTAGAGCAGCTTTATTCATAATTGCCAAAACTTGGAAGCAGCCAAGATGTCCTTTGCTAGGTGAATGGATAAATAAACTGTGGTACATCCAGACAATGGGATATTATTCAGTGCCAAAAAGAAATGAGCTATCAAGTCATGAAAAGACATGAAGGAACCTTAATCCATATTACTAAGTGAAAGAAGACAACCTTAAAAGGCTACATACTGTGTGATTGCAATTATATGACATTCTGGAAAAGGCAAAACTACAGAAGCAGTAAAAAGATCAGTGGTTTCCAGGGGTTAGGGAGGAGGGAGAGAGGCACAGGAGGAGCACAGAAGATTTATAGGGCAGCGAAACGATTCTGTATGATAATGTAATGGTGGATACATGTCCAAGCCCATAGAATGTGTAAAACTAAGAGTGACCTCTAAATGTAAAATACAGATTTTGGGTGATCATGATGTGTCAATATAGGTTAGGTTCATTGATTGTAACAAGTGTACCACTCTGGATGTTGGTAGTGTGGGGTGTTGATAGTGGGGAGACTGTGTGTTGAGGGTACATGGGAGCTCTCTGTACTTTATGCTCAATTTTGCTGTGAATATAAGACTGCTCTAAAAAAATTCTGTCAAAACTAGTATATATATAAAACAAATAAATCCATAAACAAAGGCAAAAGACAAATTGGGAAAAATATTGACAGACATATATGGTGGATATATTTAATTAAGGATATGAAATCTTTAAAAAGATACTATAATATTATTAAGAAATGAATACTCCATTAGAAAAGTGAGCAGAGGACATAGACAACTAATAAAACAAATACAATGGACCAATAAACATTAAATGATGCTGACATCTACTGATAAAGAAACACAAATTTAAAATAAATAGATAACATTAAGAACAGCAGACTTTTATTTTTCTGATACAATGTCTAGTGTTGGCAAGGGTGTAGAAAAAGGTACCTTCTCATATATTGGTGGAGATGGTGTAAATTGGCAGTTTTCTGGAGTCTATACTTATCAAAAATCTTCAAAATGCACATTTGAGACTTCTGCTTCTGCAACATCAAACTTAACGGTGAAATGACTGAATATTTTCCCTTTAAGATCAGGAACAAGGTAAAGATGTCTACTGTTACCACTTCTATTTAATGTCACACTAGAGATTCTAGCCAGTACAATAAGGCAAGAAAAAGAAAAGTTAATCCGGATTGGATAGAAGAAGGAAAACTGTCTTTATTTGCAGAAGATATGATCATCTATGTGGAAAATTATATGTAATCTACAAAAAAGCTATTAAGACTAATAAGTGAGTTTAGCAAGGTTGCTGGATACAAGCTACATATACAAAAACCAGCTATATTTTTATATACTAGAAATGAGCAATTGGACAGTGAAGTAAAAAATCGATATCTTTTGCAATAGCATCAAAAACATGAACCACTTAGGGATAAATCTAATAAAAAATGTACAAGTTCTATACATTGAGAACTACAAAGCATTTCTGAGAGAAATAAAGAAGATCTAAATAAACAGAGATATATACCATGCTCATGGATCAGAAGACTCCATATTGTTAAGATGTCAATTTTCTCCAAACTGATTTACAGGTTTAGTGCAATCCCAGCAGACTTTTATGTTTTTAGAAATTGACAAGCTGATTCTAAAATTCATATGTAAATGCAAAAGACCTAAAATAATCAAGACAACTTTGAAAAATAATGAAGTTGGAGAACTTACACTACCTAATTTCAAGACTTATTGTAAAGCTACAGAAATCAGGATGGTGTCGTATTGGTGCAAAGACAGACTAATATATTAATGGAGCAAATAGAGTCCAGAAATAGGCCCACACATATATAGTCAATTGATTTTTGATAAAGCGCAAAGGCACTTCAATGGATAAAGAAAAGTGTTTTCAACCCATAATGCTAGAACAATTGGATAGCCATATGTGAAAATGTGAACTTTGATCCATACCTTGCACTGTATATAAAAATTAACTCAAAAATGATTATAGACTTAAATGTAAAACTTAAAACTTCTAGGAGAAAACATAGGAGAAAATCTTTGTGACCCTGTGTAGGGAAAGGTTTCTTAGATAACACCAAAAGTATGATCCATGAAAGAAAAAATCAATAAGTTGGACTTCATCAAAATTAAGAACTTCTGACCTTTGAAAGATACTGTTAAAAGAATAAAAAGACAAGGCACAGACTAGTAGAATATATTTGCAAATCACATATCTGATAAAGGACTTGCATCCAGAATATATAAAGACCTCTTAAAACTCAATAATAAGAAAATGACAATCCAATTTAAAACATGGAAAAAATATTTGAACAGACACTTTACCAAAGAAGATGTATGAGTGGCAAATAAGCACATGAAAAGCTGTTCAGCATCACTAATTGTTAAGAAAATGCAAATTTAAATCACAATGAGATACTACTGCATACCTACTAGAATGTCTAAAATTAAGAAGACAGATGATAGCAATTGTCGGTGAGAATATGGAGCAACTGGAACTCTCTTACATTGCTAGTGGAATGTAAAATGGTACAACTACTTTGCAAAACAGTTTGGCAGTTTCTTAAAAAGTGAAGCATACACCTGCTACCCGACCGGGGAAGGGAGGAGTGGGGGGAAGGATTACAAGGGGCATGAGAAAACTTTTGGGGGTGAAGGATTTGATCATTACCTTGATTGTGGTGACGGTTGACAGCTGTATTCATCTGTCAAAACTCATCAAATTGTGTCCTTTAAATATGTGCAGTTTATTGCATGTTAATTAGACCTTTATTAGTTGTTAGAAATACTCATATTTCTTGACTCAGGGAATTTATCCTGAGGAAATAATAAATGTAAAGCTTTATCTAAAGAATGTTTATCAGCATCTCATTTATAATAGTGAAAAGCTGTAATTAGATGTTCCCCATGGAGGATTAGTTAAGCAGATGATGGATTTCTATGCAGTCTCTGAAAATTGTGTCATATAAGAATGTTAACGACCTGGGAAAATGCTCAGAATATATTTTTTAA